CTACGGGCATTCTAGAGAAATATAGAAAGCCACCAGTATGCAATGGTGAAGTGAAATTAGACATGATACTAGTTGTATCTAATTTATGGAATATAACAATTGAAGGATTAAAACCACAAAAGTTCAGACGGGTCCAAAATGATGAAATGTCATACAATTGGGGGGGGGGGCATAGATTACTTTGTCCCAAAATAAAGTTGACACTTAGACTTTACAGAGTTTAATAAAATTATTCAAAACTAAAATTTGTTTAGTGAAAAGTGTGTGGATGAAATTTATTTTGTTATAAGAGCTACATTTTCATATTTTGGAATGGAAAGTGAAAAGGTGTAAACTTCATTTTGGGACACTCAGAAAACAAAAAATGTAAAGTACATTTTGGAATGGGGGAGTATATATATTTAAGAAAGATGTAAAGGTAGAGAACGTAAATCACAAAATTTTCATACCAAAGTCTCATCATCAGAAAACTCAGCATCTGCTGCAGGTGTAGTTTCCTCATCTGATTCATCATCCATTGAACTGTCTGGGGTATGTGGTCTATGCACTTGACAGTCCTCGTCTGAAGACATTTCTTGTTTATCTGGAATGGACACCTCGTGGGGAGTCCCTTGTTGTTCCACTTTATTTTCAGAGTCACATTCCTTTTCAGAGTCAGATGAGTCATTCTCCGCACCAACCCCGTGTCTCCCATCAGAGAGTGATCTTTCTTCCTTCTCAGACTTGTCGAGGTCAGATGAACTCTTTTCCACAATCTCTTCTTGTATGCCTTTAGGAAAATTAGGAAGCTCAATAAAAGTTTACGGAAATAGGGAACTCAAAGCGCCAAAGCGTGGCTTTATAGAATTGTAGGTTTTGAAAACATCATAGTGTGGTTTTGTTCCAATCAAGTGAAGCTAATTCACATGCATTTCTTTGTTAAAAGCTTGGCAAAAATGGGTGAACGACAAGTTAAATAAGGAGTGTGATAAGTTCAGCTAAACCAACAAAAAAATCACAAGTATGATAATGAATTACAGAGTACGAGTTATGACAGTTGCATCTTGCCAAAATTTAAATGCTGTGTGTTGGTTAAACATGTTTTTTTAATGAAGCCAGACTGATTATGTTGAATGAACAAAAAAGATTCCAAAGCAATAAGTTATAACCAATCAAATGAAATAGATATCAGACTCTTATCTGATTCCAAATTATCACCTAGGGGCTTGCTCTTTGATCTCCCTTCTTGTTTATATTTTGAATTCTTTCTTGGTGTTCTCTTCCTTGTTACTTGGGACAACGAAGACCTGTTGTGCAATCAGAGCATAGAGAAAATGATGAGATGAAGACATATATTCAATCTATTCACTGGATTGTAATGACAAACTCACATATGGCCAGCCCCTTTCTTTTGCGCTGACCCAACGGAAGATTTCCCTTTCCTATTATCACCAGATCTGGAGAGCAGTAACAGCAAAATAATATGGTTAGCAATCTCATTAAGCATAATAGCATTTCACAGTGTGAAACCACTTCAATAACAAATAGAATGCTTCTCCAAGACAACGATTATACAACCAAAGACTCCATGTGTCGCATTATTCTACTTTTTTTACACTGCTTTGAAAAATGTTCATTTCCTTAATTCAAACACACTGACCTTTTTTTCCTAATTCACCACTTAAATTTTCAAATGATTTGACCCAGTTGTCCCACTTGAAGGATAACAATGGAAAGTGCAATACATTTTTCTTGTTTTTATTATAAGCCATGCTAAGAGCAAAAGGACATTATAATGTTCATTTTAAAAGTAGCCATACATTCTAACAAGCATTTTTTATGTTATGCCATTATTATATGGCAAAATATACTATTCATGGTCAAAATATAATATCACCATTTTGAAATTGAGATTTTAATTTTTTTACTAGTCCCCGTTTGTCCCATAAAAAGAGTCTTGTTTCACAAAGGTACAATTTTATAATTCTAGTAAGGTACGACTATTGAAATTAATCAAATGCCTGAGTTTAACTACAGAGTATATATTAAAATGTACTTGTTGGTTACACTAAATTGAAGATTTTCAACTTGTTTGAGACACTTCTTATAAAATATAAATATGATGAAAAATTGCTTTTTTTGTTTAAATTACTCTTTTTGGGATAAAAAGATGTTCCTAAGCCAGACTGATTTTTTTGGGACGGAGGAGTATATGTTACGTCAGATTAGTGAACAGTAACCCATGTGTGATGATCTAATCAAGAACCTAGAGAAACCTCAGTAAAAAATTTGGGTATCATGCATCAAAATGATCAAAGCAAAAAAGAATAATGTTTTCATTGAAACTATGGAAGAAATGAAGTACTCACCCTCCCTTGGACCTTGCGTCTTTAGATGATTTTGATTGCTGTAGATGACGTGAAGTATCAGATACCGAAGCAATAAGTGTGGCTAAAGTGGAGGAAGGTAAAATTTATTTTTGAGATGATATTTTTTAATTAAAAAACTCTCTGACCTTTATATGATTATCGGGGTTGTCAACAAGCTCCCAGCGTTCCTTATCCAACCGGAGGACTTCCACATCTCCGTCATTATATAGTATCTTATACAGATAAGATGGAAAAAGACCACGATTCAAGTGAAATTACAAAAAAGAGTTGCATCAAATATAACAATCCTTCTGTCCCAAAAAAGAGTCCTAAATGAACAGATATTTTTGTCCTGAAAAAGAGTTATCTTTTTTCTTTTTTCTTAGAATGCAAGAGAGAGAGAGAGAGAGAGAACTATGAAAACAGTTTACCACATGTTTCTTTTTCTGAGTGTCAAAGGACTTCACAACTCCTTCATAGAACCTAGGGTGTCACAGAAAGTAGGGTAAAGTCAATATGCCTAAGGGAAAATAACAGTAATAACATACAGCTTACTGCCCCTAGATAACTCTATGATCTTAAGGTGTGTGATTGAGAAGGTATCATAGAGAAACAAGTCAAACAACAGAGCACGAAGAAAACCAAGTTTACTACCAAACCAAACAACACTTTTACTGAAACATGAGATGCAGTTTTGTACGTGTACTATGGGGGGAAATACTACAAGTTAGAGGTAAATAAGCAAATCATGGAGTACAGTTTTGGGACTATAGTGTACTGAGTACACTATAGACGCAACATATCAACAATGGACACTGGGACAATTAAACATGAAGATAACTAATCATAGCACAAAGTGTATTGTAGTTTGAACCAGATTATCCAAAAGGACCTCTATTAATGAATATGGCACTCCATTTGTTGTTTATATTATTGAGAAAAAAGGGAAAAAGAACAGAAAAGGTGAATCATATGAGAGAGATGCATGGAAAATAGTGTGAGCAAAAACAGTCTATATATGAAGGTTGTAGAAAGAGATGGCACCATGTGAGAACCACATAGACACGAATAAAAAAATATTAGTCCAAATAACTTGGTAACTGTCAAGGAACCAACTCAACTACAAGCTCAAGCTTGTGGTTGTGGCCCAGGAATGATTGTTATATACTCTAACACGCCTCCTCACGTGCACGCGTGACCTTTTTTGAGCCTTGCACGTGAAACCTTAATTTTTTTTAAACTGGGTAGCAGTGAGTTTCGAACTCGTGACCTCTTGGTCATCAAGGCTCTGATACCATGTCAAGGAACCAGCTCAACTACAAGCTCAAGCTTGTGGTTGTGGCCCGGGAATGATTGTTATATACTCTAACAGTAACAAAACCAAATTTTGAGTATAAGACTTACTGCTTATCCATGGGCCACCAAACTTGTATTCTGCAGCCAATCAAATCCTTGGTTTGACTTTCACTACCCTTGGAAGTGCACTAGAGTAGAACCAAAAACAGTGTAAAGGTATTACAGACATTAACAAAGAATAGTCAGTACTCTATATAGAATCTTCCTATAAATTCACAAGAAAATAAAGCAAAAAGAAAAACATATGCAAACAGAAGACATTAACTAATCTGTATTATTGTACATAAGAAAAAAACATTTATAATGCCTGAAGCCTGACTGAATTGTGTTATACCCCATTTAGAAATTTATGCTGGTAGAGGAGAGATATTTATCATTTCTCAACAAGGAATTTAAGCAGCATGTTGCATGCCAACAACCATACTCCAATCTCAAAGAAGACGGACATACACAAAAATGATACCACTACATGAGTAGTAATAGGAAAACCATACTGAGATGTAGCATACTACTAGTATCCATTCAAAAGAGAAGTACCAAGTTAGAGTAAAAATTATTCAACATACTGAGTTCTCACCTTTGTCAGCCCAAAACTGTCTTTCTTCTTTGGTGTCTTGATAGATCCTGCCTTGGAATTACTTGAATTGTGTGTCCCGTCAGTTGCAATATCCTCTTTAATTTTCTGCACAAGTGGGGAATCAAATCAAAAAATAAACAAAAGCTTCAATGCAACCAGTTTTACTTGCAAAGAAGCTTACATTCTCTTCATGGTAGTCCTTGGTGCCAGCTTCATGTTCCAAATCAGAAACTTTACGTTTTCTTTTTGACGAAGTCAACATATAATCCTCTGAAATAGTATCTTCTTCTGACAACTTATCTTCTGAAGAAGTTGAGGGAAGGTCTTCATCTCTTTCACTAGAATTCGAGGTGGTCACCTTATGATTCTCCTTAGGGTTCTCAGAAGCCTTTGGTGTGAGAGATGGCTTAACATCTTGAACAGAGGATGACTTTTGTCTTTTAGGAACAGAAGCATCTCTTGAATCATTAAGATTTGTTTTCCTTTTGTTAGGACTATTACTGACTTGCCCCTTTTCAACAAAATCATAACCATTGCTTGATTCAAACTTAATTGAATTGGCTTCAGTATCTGAATTAATTTCCCTCACCATTCTCAAGATATCAACATCATTGTTTTTCACCTCAATCAGGGAAGATTGCTTCTTCAATGTATTTCGCGCCTTGGACATTTTGGCTTTTAGCTTTTCCATAATTTTTCCCAAAGGAATCTCACTTCCATCTGTTTCACAATCTTTCATTTCATCAGATTCAGTAATGTCTGCATTAACCTGAAGGATACGAATAGATTTTTAAAAAGTAAGAACACATGACAACCATCGTAGTGCTGCAAGTTTCTGCAACTGAAAGTAGAGAAAGAGCTTACTTTCCCGTTAGTCTCCAGTATAAGTGACTCAAATTTGTGCAGGACACTCTCATTGGCCAGCCATGTCTGTTCTTCAACCTGTCACCAGATATAGTGTAAACCACCCAAAATAGGAGTAAAAAGTAGTACTTCGTATTTTGTTTCCCACCTATCGGTAGCTACAAATCGGATATCTTTTCTTTCTAGATGAATTTTTTTTATTTAAAGGGAAATCACACCAAACAAGTTTCCACTGAGGCCAAGTAGATGCCCAAATATATTGAAAAGGAATGAAGGTTTGATCACCAAACTGCAGAAAATAACCGCCCATCATACCAGTGCATTGCATCATAAAAATGGGAAGCAAAACCAGCTGAATAACTCCCATACTAACACAAAAACGAATAAATCCTCAAAGTGGCATAAGTAAAGACCCCATTCACCCATTGGTTGGTCAAATGATCCCTCATGAATTTTTTTTTAAAGATGCCTACACGACTAACATACCAAGTCCTTTAGGGATTGAAAACTGGACTCTAACTCTACTAGAGTATTATCACAAATCCAATTGTATTGAATAGCTAACAAGCATGAAACGGTGGAATCATGTACTAGTAGAGAGAAATGGACACATCACATTCATTTTTCTAGCTCTATCTACAAACTCTCTTTGGTTTTAGTATTCAGTGAAGACTCCATCAGAATAGAACGAAATAGGATTCAGTTAGTAATGTTGCGTCATACAAAATTTACAAATGAACAGAATATGTGGAATGTTGACAAGATTGTAAACATCATCCAAGAAACCATACCAGAGAAGTGGCATTCCCTTCATCCTTCTCATGTTGTTTGAAAAGCAATGTAGGTAGTGACACTCGTCTGCTCAATTCCTCAGTGTCCTCCTTTGTAGAGGCAAAGCGCTTTGTGATTGAAAGGCCGATGTCAGAAATGCCATGCAAGTTCTACAACAAAAATGGGTGCTCATTTCATTAACACCAAGATAATGGCAAGTTGACTCAAAGCAATAATTCACAAATTTATAGTCTTCTTACTGTTCATTGCCAATGGATCTAAAATAGTCATTATTGAAAATGTTTTGTTTCGGACACATTGCAAGTTCTACAACAAAAATTGGTGCTCATTTCATTAAACTCCACTTGCTTCTTACTTTCTGTGAAGTTTTGGCCAGTATATGCAGCAATGCATCTAGGGTCTAACGAAAACAACCTCTCCAATCTAACAAAAACAGCCTCTCCTTTTTTACAGGGGTGAGACTGCGTACATCTTTACCCCCAGACCCCAACAGAGTTGGGATTATGCAGGGTTGTTGTTGTCTGCTTACACATACTGACGTTATAAGCTCTCACTAGGCGCTGAACACAAGGTGACCTGATATGCTCAAACATATCTTAGAGCTATCAAGAGAATCTTGGTGCAGAGTGTAACTGTTAGAGAGCCTCAAAAGGAGGCATAGAAGATAAAACGTGATATCATGAAAATGACCCAGTAAAACCCCACAAGTGTATGCACACTGACCTTACCCCTCCCTAAAAGATAGAGACTAGAGAGGCTATTCCCGAGAACAATGCAATATCAATCAAGAAAATATTATTTACAGGATTTGATATGATCAAAAAAAAAATTATAACCTTAGATCTTTTAGCATCTATGCCATCCTGTGATTGCTTGATGCTATGAAAAATAGAGTTTATTGCTGCAATACTTTCCTTCTCTTGATCCTTGCTAATTTGAGATTTACCATCATCATCTCTATGTATGAACATTGAGACGAATAGATGCAACTGCCTGGAAAGGTGTACCCAAGTATCAACAAAATTTGGAGCAGAAATTCTTCTTATATATATTGCCGTCAATGTTAGAGAAGCAGACATTGGAAAAACGTATAATACGATCGATCCAAAATATATGGAGTATTATCCAAGAATATATGCATGTATCATAATCTTTTATTCTTCAACATGCACCAAGAGAAAAAATCATAAAAAATAGATTCTCCATCTGATAAAGCATATACAATCAATGACAAGGTTTTTCCTTCAAGTCGAGGGGCATATTACAAAAAATATTAGCACTTTAAGATAGTATAGTGGTATTCTGACCAGAGATGAGGTGATTCTCCTTAATTTATACAGCAGTGAACAGCCTATATTAAATTTTAACAATTATTAACTAGGGGAAAAAGGTAAATATAACCACACAGACGAGCCTTTGAGGATGAGAATTACAGAGATCAATTGTTTGAGTAAATTTGAAGAGCAATGAAGTGGTATTTAAATTTTTTTTTAAAAACACGGCAGTTCAGTATATTATATTTTTAGACCTTACTGTCTTAGGCATTTACCAGAAAGCAATACAGACAACAAATATATACCTATAAAAAGGTTTGAACGCTTTTATGTCTTTGCATTCTTCAATGTTAGGGAATGATGGATGATGAGCAAGAACATGGACCAAATACGGTAAAATGTATTCTGGATAGCACATAGGAGCATTTGCATCAGACTGTGAAGACAGATGCCGGGTTTTCCCTTGCTGACACATCTGAATGATGTCACTTATATTGTTGACAACCTGCCAATGATTAGGAGACAAAAGGGTCATAGTGGCATAGCACAACTCAACCAATGACTTTAGAGAACACCCAACCATAGAATGCCTAAGTAAAACAAATGTAGATGGAAGAAATGAACTACCTCTTCATTGTCCACTTGATCGGGATTCATGTCGAGAAAGAAGGCACAAGCGTATTTGGGGTCCAATAGCCGGTCCTTTATGTAGTGGTGAACTTTGTTCAGAAATATTTGTTTTACTTGAGGGAAATTGGCCTACTAACATGAATCGTTGAGATGACATTTCATTCAGTAATGTTAGACGCCTAAAGTTTTAAAGGCCTAAAATTTGAAGCATATATCACAATAAGACTTCACCTCTGAAGTTCTCAAAGTGAGATAAACGATATCCACAGGAATTTTATGCTCCCATTGTTTTGATATGCGAAGAACAGCTTTTGCCGCAGCAAGTTTCAGATGGGCCTTATCTACTGAGCTGGAAAACCCCCCAAAAAAATCAAATAGTAGAATAGAATAGCTCATACACCTTAATAGTGAGCCTGATGCAGTAATACTCTACCTGACCTAGAAGATATACAGATGTGGGACAAAAATTCAGAATCTGCAAACCATACATTACCTTGAATGAATTTCTTTGGAGATTTCTCCAAAGCAGAGCATGTTTTTAAGGATTAACATCAAGTCATCAATCCCCGAACGAAGATGAGCATCTTTAACTGGTAAATAGCTTTTCACCAGTGCTTTGATGCCATAAATCTGTGAATTGTTTTTACATATTTAAACTAGTGCTCTGGTTTTAAGAAAAATGAAAAGATATCCAACTTGTGATTTGCATAAATCATAAAAACAGCTTGTTGTTATCTAAAAATTGACCTTCAATACACAAATGTCACTCCTATCTGCCCAGCATTCTTTCCCATTATCTATTGATGCCTGACAAAGAAACATGCATTAGCTAATACACAGATGATTTGGACAACAATTATAAAAAGCAAGCACATTTTCTCAACCAAACAAAGAAAATTATAGCCTACTTGGTTGCACTCTAAAATATTTTTCTTTATGAACATTGCAATCTCGCTTTCCCTAGTCTCAAAGACTGGCATAGCCATTTGTGCTATACACCCAAGAGACTGCAGAACAGCAGCCAAATGTGACTTCTCCTCAAGCATATCAACAAGCCTCTGAACACCATAGGAGAAACACCAACAGATATCAACACAACATAATAGTAAGAAAATACAATAATAGTTTCATATAATGAGACTAGAAGAGAGAAATATCAAAACAGACCTTGTACAAAAGAGAGAGTGACTTAAGACCATCATCAGTTGTTATTGATGCCAATGCATGCACGGCATACTTTGCCTGCTTCCGACTACCCTCAACGCATATCCTCTCCAGCATAAGGTCTAATGATCTGCAAACAAACACAAATGTTAATCAAATGCCATTAAAAGTTTCGAGCTAAAGCACCAGCTTAACAATATGAACCTTGATGAAACTCCCAGTTGTTCCCGAATAGATCCACCAGCTTTTGCCAAAATATGCAAAACTCCTTCTTTAATGATCTCATTGTCATCTTCAAGAAGATGAATCAGGGCTTCTTCAAGGCCACTAAGAAGAAGAGGACAGAAACGTGCAATAATCTGAAAGAAATAAAAAAACATTTGAGACGTGTGGCATAACACTACCACTGGAACAGGTTCGCAAGAAAAAATAAAGCATCAGGCACACAACCTAACCATACAAAGTATAAAGGGAATGGTTGTTTGGAAGTAAAATTATAACAAATATAGATTTAATCTCCATGTTTTCCATTTGTGACTCTCTTTTTGGGACGGAGGGAGCAATTAATAAATAATTAATTAAATGGTTACTGCCAGTAGACTTCTGAGTGTCAACCTTTAATAAATAAATAAATAAATAAATAAGGAGTAATAGCAGTACCACGAGTACAGTCATGCATGATAGAATCATATGGTTACTTCCAGCAGACTTCTGAGTGTCCACCTCCAGAAGGATTTCTCTCACATGCTCCTTGCTGAAGATTATATACGAGCATTTTAAGGATAGAATGCTCAGAAAATCATAAAGTGGATGCTTTTCACCAAGGATCTTAAGCAACTCATCCTGTGGGATAAAAGTGGACAAATATAAACAAGTACATATTTCATGACTTTAACATAGGAGTAACAAGTACGAAGTACAAGAATAAGAAACAACACAAACTAGAGAGCAGAGATAAATAAACTTAGATATATGTTCTCACCCGAGAACTACAAGCATTAAGAAGGATGGTGTTCGGATCAAGTAGAAGTCCTAAAATCTTCCACACATTGACATCTTTTAACTGATCAAGGATCTGAAAGTTTTCCTCCGCTTTTGCAGTGTCAGTAAAGCAATGAGACATAATGTGGAAGCATACCATTACTTTCTTTTGGAGCTCAGCAGGATCACCATCCTTCATTAGTTGTTGATTTTTAAAGTTAGATGTGCCTGCAGTTAACCTCTTACAGATTCAGTTTTAAAGCTTCAATAAGTTACAAACCTGTGACATCTGCCTTAGTGAAAGATACTTTCTCATCTCTTGTTGTAACCTGCATCAACCAGAGATAGCTGCCAGTTAATCTAACACTAAAACAGAAGCAACTGATTTAAACAGAAGTTTAATCATAAAGGGACGAAATAATAGACCGATAAACACACCTTTGCTTTTGTTCCAACATCTTTTCAAGAGCCTTGACTTCAACTTTGTCAAAACCTGAGAAAACCCTGAGCCAAGTTTTAACAATATCTTTAACAGAAAATTCATTAGGGAACAAGGACAGGCACAGAACAGGTTCAACAGCATCTGATCTGCAAAAAAGGATTTGGTGTTAAATCATGGTATTGAAAGAACAGATTGCAATCTTGCAGAAGCATACATTTAAAAATTAGGGTACTCAGATGAGAATATTTGTTTCACAATAAGCATAATGGGATATAAATATTCATTGCCTCAGGGTTTCTTTGAAGTTGAAGTTAATCTTATGATGAATAAAAGGGTTCAGTTGCAAATTAATTTTCCTTTAACCAAGAAAATAATACCATCCAGATTGTACAAGATAAATTTACCTGAAGTCCTTGTCATAGAAACACCTCAAGATCTTCCCAGGGATCCAATCATATTCATAACTTTTATGCAAGCCACTAGAACAGCTCAAACAATATTTTCTGTAGACCTCAGATAGTCTCTCCATTGTATATCTTTTTACAAGGAACTGGAAAAATGGTTCAAACATATTGTGAGACAAACATGCAACGCATTAGCTTTCAGATGAAAATATGCATACCGAGAGAGAGAGAGAGAGAGAGAGTCCATCATACAGATTTGTCTCGAAGTCTCTCAGCAACAAGCTTGATTTTCTCAACATCTAAGGAGGATAAGGCGCAACATGCTACATCACATAGAACAGCAACAACTTGCTTACGTACATTTTCATCATAATCAAGCAGTCTCTCACATAAGGCAGCTACAAAAAAATTATATACCAGCTTAGAACCAATAACTAATTTTAAAACTAAATTATATTCAAAAAAGAAAGTCAAGGCTTTTTTACAAATAATCTGTGGAGCTTCATCTCTAAATGGATTGCAGAGCAAACAGCCTTTAACACTTTCAAGGACAGCCATCCGAACTTCAACTGTTATATCCGTCAACCTCTTTAAGAACTCCAAAAATATTGAACGAAAAGCATCATTGATTACGCATTTGGGCATAGCAAAGATATCCCCAAGTAAGCTAACAACTTTTAGTCGTACATCGGGCTGATCAGTCTGTTAAACAGAAATTTGGAAACTAATATACTTGCTAACAGGAAAATATATAAGAAAAAATCTCTCACTAATAACTACACTTTAAATTTAAAGATTAGTGAACATCAACCATGCCAATGCGTTAGTAGGAAGTTTCAGCAGAGCGTGCATTGTGGCAAAAGCAATTAGCTCTCAAATCAATAACAAAAACAATAACAACAAACACAATGTAATCCCACAAGTGGGTTCTAGGTGGGTAGGCTGTTTCTAATAGACCTTTGGCTAATCAACTCTCAAAGCATGAGAACGCAGGCCATGGTTTGTTGAAAGATTACAAACAAGGTAATAGATAAAGCAATGATCATTACCAAAAGCTCCCCTGTGAGGTAAGGAACAACTCCTGATAAAATTTGAGGGGCACAGCAGTAAACATCATAAATGACATCATGGTAGTCTATAAAATCATGTGGCCTACTTTCTCCAGACATTGAAGATATAAGAAACTGTTTGATGCCAGGCTCAAGTTTTCCGGCACATTGTTCTATCAAATCCTTAGCAAGCCTCCTCCCAGCCTTTTTTACACCCTAGAAATTGAAATCAACAATTAAGCGCTTCGCGAAGGTGAAAAGTGGAATTCTCAAGCTTCAACAGCAGAGATTATGTCTTAAGGAGGAACGATTACCTGTTTACTACGTCCTAGAGAGGATAAAATAATAGCTAAAAGATCATCCCGTATATCCTCGCTTTCTTCTAGGAGTACGGTCATGATTGTTTTCATTGATTTTAGAACACTTTCTGGATGCTCCTCTCTGTACATGTTGAATACAACAAACAATCAGATTACAACAGTCAAACAAATATATTACAGATGTGGATACAGAGTTGCCAAATACATGTATATGTGTATATATTGGGAATTCTTAAGCCATTTCATTCACAAATATATTGATAGAAAATGCCATATAATGATGATTTATACCTGGCTTCTTTGAAAAAAGTACTGAACATCTCATTCACAAGATCATCACATTCGAGATCCAGCATAACAACACATGATCTATATCTTGCCAGGGTCTCTAAAATAACGACTTTTCTACCAAAATATGGGCTATTTGTTTTGTTTAGTTCTTTGAAAGATCTAACAATCAAATCAAAGATGTCCTGGCATAAAGAAAAAGGCATTCAAGCACATCCAATAGAAAAATAATAATGAAGAGTATATGCCCAATGCATGGAAAAAGCAGCTTTTTCCATTGAATGGTTCATTGGTGCATTTATAAATTAAATTATACCTTCAGAATATCATCACTGTAAGGAGCCTCGGGTGCTGTAATTCTCATTATTTCGCATATACAGGTAGAAACAAGAAGTTTAATCTCCCTGTCTTGATGTTTTAGAAGTTCAGGTTGTACAATAGCATTTTGAAAAGGCTGCATAGCCTCCAAAACAGCTTTAGGTGGTGACTGATCCAAATCAGAGAGACATGCTGAACCTTGCTGTAAGTTTAAGTGCGTGTAAGAATTAGCTTAGCCATGGATACAATAACTATAAGAGTGACATGAGTTTACAAAAATTAATGCCCTGAAATGTTGTTTTGGATAACAAAAGTGAGCGGTGTGACTTTTCTCCAATAGTCAATAAGAATTTTCATTACAACTGATCAAGAAAACAGAAGTCAAAAAGTCAAAGGAAGTAGCTCGTTGAAGTACATATAACACACTGAGTGCTCATCCAGTATAAATAGCGGCACGAGCATTAGAATCGTTCCCATATTTTGAAATGCTACTCCATTAAGATGCTGAGTATTTTAGACAATTAAAAAAGCCTACATGTAAATCTGAAATGCATCTTTAGAACCACATTTATGAAACGTGGCTCTAAGCATATTAATGAGACTTAGAAGTCAATTTGAACAAAACATCTGTTATCCACAGAAATTTGCATTAAAAGTAATGCAATTTCAACATGCATGGACAGGGGTTGAATGGCAAGGGGTTGAATGGACAGGGGTTGAATGGCAAGGGTACATTCTAGTACCTAATTTCAATGAAAAGATGCTTCTCCTGGAGAGGAAATTGGATTCCCTATATGCATGCATGTGCTCATTCCAGGATAGCTTCAATAGAGCAAGAATATCTAAGACTTGAAGTACCCCCAGTTAAGCCTTACTCCTACTGCCACCTCAACTTGCTAAAGTAACATATATACATACACGAAAAAGACAGGTTTCCAAGACAATTTTTTTTTATTTTTCCTAGCTCATAAAGGAAAGGAAACCAACATTACCAAGCTCCTTCAAGACCAAATCAACCAACCAACCTCAATAGACCCAAGATTTCCAAGAGTCTCAACTCTTACTACTCCCAGAAAAACTTTTTTGGCATGATCTAAAAAGGGTCAAACCTTCCTAAATCTCCCCATCCATTCACAAAGAAGGGGGGGAAAGAACCCTAATTCAGCTGAAAGTCCGAGCTTCCCATTAGCCCTAAAGACCGAAACTAATCGCCATAAACTCAAAGAGAAAGAAGAACTTACCGCGAAAACAGCAAAGAACAAGTGAAACTCACTGGACCGGCAAGGAATGCAGCCAGGAATCAGAAAGAATAGAAGAATTTAACAATAAATATATGATTAACCTTTAAGAGCTTCACGATGGAATCTTTAGTGCTGGGAAGAAAGCCGAGCTTGGATCCGACTTCCACGAGCTTCTGAAGAATCTGAGCCATGGAGTTCGGCTTCTGAGCTCCTCCTACAGTTGCCCCTGGTTTCACATTCAGCTCACCCGAGTTTCGAAGAGGGAGATTTGGACAAGGCCAATGCCAAAACGAATGACACTTCAACTTTTAATGTGGTGGTTTATTTAAAAAGGTAAATTTTGGTTAAAGTCCACAAATTTTACTCCCTCTATAACTCTATTTATCTTCCACATTGGTTTAAGAGATCTGAATAAAATTATTTTTAATTCAATTTATTTAAGATATAAAATTAAAAAAATTATATATTTTAAAATTACGTTAAAAATTCTAGAAAATAAAAGATAATATAACTATATTAATTTATCAAATAACTAGCAAAAATAAGTAAAGAAAGTGATTAAAATTTAACCATGTGAATAGTGATTGGGAAGATTATTTTATGACAGAGGGAGTAATATGAACATTACTTATTATCGCTTTTGTTGAGTATGGTTATGATCTAATTAGAATGTGTCTTGATTTGCTCCGATCTGATTTGAATGTAGTTGTATTTAAAGCTATTTTTTATCTGATCTGAACTGATTCCAATAAGAAAATGTAATAAAAATAAGTTGAAGAGAACGTGATCTATCTCTCCCGTTTTGATTTTTTATAATCAACCAATTTCGACCTTTGACATTCGAAAAGTATGTCATTTTTAAATTTTAAATGAAAATTTCAAAAAAAAATTAAAAAAAATTGTATTAAATAATCTCAACCGGTTATTTCTGTTAAGCAGCCGTTAGCAGCTTAATGGTGACCCAAAACTCACAAGTTTTAATAATTTAGGACCAATACACATCACAATGAAAGATGATATTATTTTTGAAAGATCAAGTAAAGTTGGGATGATCCTAAGTAATTTTTCCTAATTTATACTCCATTCATTTCTTTTTTTCTCTATTTATTTGTTTCTATATCACACTAGTGTCACACCCGTGCGTAGGGGTGTGCACCGGTTCAAAACCGGACCGGACCGGAACCGGAATGGACTAGAACCGGAATCCTCTATTTGCAAGGACTGAAGACCGGACCTATTAGATACGGGTCCAGACCTGAATTTTCTGGTCCGGTCCAAGTTTACCCTATTATGGACCGGATTTTAAACATAAATGACCTAATTTTCATTATAAATAATTCATATCTAAATTATATATGTATATATATAATACCATCAATCCTCAAATTCATAACAATAACAATTCACTAGGGAGGAAAATTATTAAATTCATAAGTTCATAATACTACAAAATCCATGAAAAAAATCTCAAACCAATTAAAACTCTTTCTTGAACGGATCAATTATAGAATTTATTAAAAAAGAACTTACAATTATTTAACAAAATTCAATAAATTGAATGATAACTAAATGAAGTACGGAGGGGTACTAGAAAAACTAGGCCCCAACACATTCCATGTCAATCCAATATTTTAAGAAAATCGTAACATAATTTAAAAAGCTTAATAAAACTTACTAATATCACACTCGTGTGTTGCAGAGTTCATATTTACATTAATAATTAAGATCATTTTTTAATGATAGAAAATGATATCTAATAAAATATAGAAATTTTCATATTTTAAGGTACAAAAGTTTTTTTGTTTTTCTGATTTTGAAAGACTTCTTTATACACTACATTATTCGTACAATTTGTGAGAATATTATATTCGTTGCATATCAGAATCTTCAAGTCATTACGATTTGTTACTCTTAAAACTACAACATACAGTTGCGAAAATGTTTACAATTGACCCTATTATTTGTACTATGAAAAGTTGTTTGTTTATTCTAATTTCCTTTTCAGATTTTTTTAATTACAATGTGTATAAGGCAATTTTTTTACTTATTCTATTCCTTATAGCGGTTAATTTTTTTAACATTTAGCTACCGTTTTTATACACACGTTACATCTTAACTTATAATTATACATTACATTTTTGGTGTTACTTACTATTTCAACCTTTTAATTTATTAGACACCTTTTTTATTTTACTTATCATTTCAACGTTTTATTTTATTACACACATAATAAAATAGTGAAATCATTTTATTTATTTCATAGGTACTTACAATGTATTTATTATTTATTCTTACCAAAACCGCGTATAAGGTAATTATTTTATTTAAAATCATTTTATTCAAAATACGTATGAAGTTAAAATAAAACATGGTACCGTGTTAATTAATTTTTTTATAACACCGTATCATTAATTTAATATACTTTTAATTACACTTTTATATGCACGTTACATCTTAGTTTATAAATATATATTAATTACGTTTTTTGTGTTACTTACCATTTCAACATTTTATTTTATTACACACTTTTTTTGTATTACTTACTATTTATTTGTTTTTTTATCTTATTTTATAAATATAAATTATTTTTTTGGTGTTTTTTGGTGTTACTTACCATTTCAACATTTAAATTTATTACACACCTTTTTTGGTTTTACTTACCATTTCACAATTTTATTTTGCTACACGCATAATAAAATAAGGAATTTATTTTATTTATTTCATAGGTACTTACAGTTTATTTATTATTCATTCTTACCAAAACAGTGGACAAAAGAATTATTTTATTTAAAATCATTTTATTTAAAATACGTATGAAGTTAAAATGAAACATGATACCCTCTTAATTAATTTTTTTATAACACCGTATCATAAATTTAATATACCTTTAGTTACATTTATATACATACGTTAAATCTTAATAAGAAATCATCCTACGCAGGACTCTAAGTCACTCAATATTACGCATATAGCACTCTTTAATAATATTTAGCTATTTTAGCTATTTATAGTGTCAATATCTTCCAAGCATACCCTCTACCTTTGATAATATTATACTATTTTTAATCACTTTTAATTATTTGACTAAATTTAGGTTATTCACGTAGCCACTCCTCCTCATACGTGCGGCTCCTCCTCATTTGTGCGACTCATACGTGCGAGAACATCATCCTACGCCGTTTACTATAGCTCTGCGAGATTTTCCTCCTACGCAGTTTACCAATGTATAATGCCTAAATAAGTTTGTACGTATTAAATTAAGTTCCATATTTAACGCCCACGTTTGGCCAGTGTGTTTTGGTGTAATAGATATTCATGAAATCAGTCATATATTTTTGGGCAGTGTAGAATTCATATATGAAAACAGTCATACACATTTCTGGCAGTGTGGAATTCACACATGAAATCATTGTGGAATTCATACATAAAAAGAGTTATACTTTTTTTGGACAATATGAAATTCATACATGAAAACAGTCATATACTTTTTGACAGTGTATAATTTATACATGAAAACACTGCCACATAAATCAATGGACATTGCACTTCAACATGAAATTAAGAATCACAATAATACACTTACACACTGTCGTAAGATATAACAACATATATTCATTCTACACTGCAACATTAAATACTCACATATAAAAAACCACACTGCCCACTACAGAGTTACAAGTGATCAACCATACTGCACAAAATAGTCATATTTTTTGGCAGTGTGTAATGAATATTTGTTGTTTAATTAAAGGACAAAATTGAAATCACAGGTACGAAACATATAGCACTATTATTTAGAGTATTTCAAGGCTCTAAGAGTGCTATTTTGGTTTTTCTCCCAATCTTAATATGTGAATATCAATTATGTTTTTTGTGTTACTTACCATTTCAACATTTTATTTTATTACACACATTTTTGGTGTTACTTACCATTTCTGTGTTTTTATCTTAATTTATAAATACAAATTATGTTTTTTGTGTTTTTTATCATTTCAATATTGTAATTTATTACACACCTTTTGGTGTACTTACCATTTCAACATTTTATTTTATTACACACATTACATCTTAATTAGTTTCACATGTGTTTAATTTACTATACACAGTACCGTGTTAAATCAAAAAAATTAATTACCTTTTAATGGCGAATTGATATTAAGCATTTACATATTCAAGTTTAGCAATTACCATTTGTGAGTGAAGACCATTTAGGCGAAAAAACGAACTGGAGGTTTCTCCGGTTTTTAAATAAAGTATAGATTTCCAGTAACTATTTACATGGTCAAATTTTAATAACTAATTTTTTTATTTTTGTTAGTTATTTGATAAGACAGCATAGTCATGTCACCTCTTGTTTATATAACTTTTAATGTAATTTTTAAAAATATTGTAACGCCCCAAAATATGGTCTAAAAGTTATATTATTTTATAATAAAAGTATTTTAGAAGTAATATTTTGACTCAACAAAAATATTATTTCTATGTTTGACCAAAAACGAAGGAATTTTTGGAGTCAATGATTTTTGTTAAGATTGACTTTTATGGATAGGTCTCAAAGAGACGAATCCAACGGTTTATTTTATGAGTAAATCTGATGTACAGAGGTTCAGTTATGACATTTTAAATATGTAATTTGTATAAAAATGAGAAAAAGTCAAAGAAGTGAAATTTTGTAAAATGACTTATTGAATTAAATATTTATATTTAATAATATTGGTTGAATATGAGATTAATTTTAATTACATATCAATTAATTCAATTTTGTCTCTATCAAAGTAAACACCCAAAAATAAGCTGTCAGAAAAAGTATTTCAAATAAATATAAAAATTATATCATTAAATAGAGTTTGACTGTCTGATCGCAACGGTGTGAACGGATTTCAATTTGGATAAAATTGGACCAAAAAGTGTACCCCAATTGAGGTAATTTAATCTAACTAAACTGGAAGAAATTAAATAAGCAGCCGCCTCCTCCACTTAGACGATCGGAAATCACAGAGCTCCAACACGCCACTCCCTCTCCCAGGCTTATATATAGGGTCATTCATTCTTCATCATCTCCCCACCAAAATCATCCCGTTAGTTAGAGGAGAGTTCAGAGAATTGAGAGAAGCTGTCCGGAGAGCTTCCCGTCGCCGGAGCAAGCCGTGGTGTTCGCCGGAAGTTTCACCGTTTTTCCGCCGGAATCATCGTTTCACTCCGAAGTAAGCCCGTAGATATATCTAGTGATTAGAATGTTCGTATAGATCGTTTCTACGTTCATAAATGGTCATTTGGTTGAGTTTTGTGTTTGACATATGTGAAGAACCATGAATCATAAACCTTGAATTTGTTGTTAAAACTTCGAATTGATGCCTCTAAAATGATCTACGAACCTTGGAGAACATTTCTATATAGTTTAATTGAAGTTTGGTAACCAAAAATGGAACTTGAGAAAAATGGGTTAGAGGTTGAAGATGATGAATAGTAAACCTTCAATTTCCTACATTTTTCCAACGGAACGGACGACCGTTCGAACCCAACGGTCGACCGTTATGAACATTTTTAAGCCCAAAAATGCTATTTTTGAAGCTATAAAATC